CTCGAGCCCATGATTCCATGAGCTTATGATTCCATGAGCCCTTTGTTTTCGAACGAGTCGAGTAGCTCATTGTAAAAATTTAGGAGCTGAGCTATTCGATTTGAAAATTTTTGTGAGCTGATTTACTCGAGCTGTTTTTTGAAATGGGAGAAAAGGGCTCTACGAGTATACTCGTGCAGGGCTCTAATTCAAAGAGCCAATACAGCTCCCCCATCGTGATGGTGAGAAAGAAGACAAGCAAGTGGAGACTATGCGTAGACTTCAGGCAGATCAACGCGAAGTCTGTAAAGGACGCCTACCCCGCATAAACTACATCCTAGATCAGCTTAAAGAGGCGCGGTACATAAGCAGCCTGTACCTGAAGGATGGATACTGGCAAATCCCACTGGAGGAAAGCAGCAGGCAATACACGGCTTTCACAGTGCCAGGCAAAGGGCTATTCCAGTGGAGGGTAATGCCATTTGGTCTACACTCGGCGTCTGCAACGTTCCAACGAGTTCTGGACCAAGTAATCGGACCCGAAATGTCACCGCATGCATTTGCCTACCAAGATGACATCATAGTGATCGGACGCACGCTGGAAAACCTAAAAGAAGTGTTCCGACGCCTAAAGGAAGCAAACCTCAGGATTAACCCGGAAAAGTGCCAATTTTTCAAGAAAAAGCTGCTGTACCTAGGACACCGAATGACTAGCGAAGGAATAGGTACAGATCCGGAGAAAGTAGCGGCCATCGCCGAATTGGAAGGGGAAAAAGGGGAAAAGGTATACCAGACAGACAGACAGACCAGGCTATATTGACTCGGCTAGTTACCCTGATCAAGAATATAGGGTAGGGTCTTGCACAAAAATAAAGACGATTTTTTTTTAATTTTTTTTCTTGTAGATTGACATCTTAAGATTATACAAAAAAAATGTTTGTTCAATCGGAAAAAAACTTTAGAAGGTATGCTAAAATTAGTACCCTAACCTCTAAGACTTTAGGTATGTAAGGGCATCTTTAAGGGCCGTTTTCTCGTCCGTACTTTAATTTGCCTGCCGGGACAACGGAGCGATAAACAAATGGTTTACTCGTCCTTATGTTAGCGCAGGTAGCGACAAATTTTGTCTCGGTATTTTATCCACCGTGCAAAATTTGTGCGGTTGGATTGTGCGCAATTGTTGCCAGACATTTCAGCGTTGTCATCTGGTTCCACTCTTCATTCGAAAACAGGTGATTCTATTTACAGTTAAATATAAATCAAAACTGTTACGGAAGTTTCTTTTGCTATAACGTCTTTTTCAAAACAATTTATGAAGTACCTGCGTATTGAAGATCTTCAATAGCCAAGTTTCCGAAAGTCATAGATGGGGTCTTGCAAAAAGAAACTATCGATACCCTAACCTCTAAGATCTTAGGTACGTAAGTGCATCTTTAAGTGCATTTTTCTCGAAACCACGTTTTGAAAGTCCATGTTCATCGGCATTTCTAAACGGCTCAACCGATCATTTCAAATTTGTCCCATATTTTTTTGCATAAAAAAACCCGCCCCCTGGAAAGCGTTTTTTGTTATTTTTTAACTTTAAATATTTTATATTTAAGCCGAAAGTCAAATTTTTTTAGGTGAAAAACGCATTTTTGACTTTGGAATATTGAAAAAAATTCTTAAAAATAAAAAATAAAAAAAAGGGCTTCATAGGGGGCGGGTTTTTTAATTCACTAGCGAAATGTGAAAGAAAATCGAGATCCGATCATTTTTAGCGGAGGTACCCTTTTTTTTAATAGTGTTTTAGCAATCGCTTTGCCACCAATATATTAGTCGATAGTATCGGCTATAAAAATTAGTGGATGTTAATTAAATGACACTAAATAATATACAAAAGGTTTGAATTAAATCCATCCAAATTAAATTAATAGAATGATCTGCAAGGGTATATAAGCTTCGGCTGGTCGAAGCTAACTTCCTTTCTTGTTTTAGTTGAATTTCTCAGAAAGTTGATGCTGTCTACTGTCCCAGGGTGCATGGAAAACTGCTTTCATTTCCTGTTTCTGGAAATAAAACCAAGCACCTCTGAACGAGATAAGGAAATAGTGACGGCCTCACCTTCTACCTTGAGAGATCATTTAAATCATCATTAAAAACTAATGACGATCGCACCTTCAACATACAAAAGTTCTGATATCAACATTTGTGATAAAAAATTATTCCACTCGTCATTAAAAACGCCCGCCCTAGCATACTATTCCAGCCTTTTTACCTTCTCAGGCATTTTCTATGGCAGCGTGCCGAATGAGAAAATTTTATGACGAGTTTAATATTCTAGCCGGACGCTTAACGGCGCTGAGAAGAACTACTTAACGACGGAAAAGGAGTGCTTGGCAATTGTCTGGGCGATCCGAAAAATCAAGCCGTATCTGGAAGGCTACCACTTTAAAGTAGTAACCGACCATATGGCCCTGATGTGGCTCAACAGCATAGAAAGCCCTTCAGGAAGGATCGCCAGATGGGCCCTGGAATTGCAGCAGTACGACTTTGAGATAGCGTACAGGAAGGGACAGCTAAACGTGGTGGCAGACGCTCGGTCTAGGCAGCCATTGCCCGAAACGCTTAGGGGAATAAAGGAGACATCGGCGGCGGAAGCTTCAGCAGCGTGCAGTTGGTTTCAAAAAATGTGCGACAAGATAAGGTCCCAACCGCAAAAGTACCCGGACTACGTTATGGAAGGCGAGAATCTGTACAGGAGCATACCGCATAGAGCGGGTAGTGAGGACGTTGTCACATGGAAGATGTGCGTCCCTAGAGCCCTACGAGAAACAGTACTGAAGGAAAACCACGACTCACCAGCAGCTGGGCACGTAGGAAGCCAAAGGACAATAGCACGTCTGGCAGCCCGATACTACTGGCCAGGTATGCATAGAGACGCCAGAGCCCACGTAAGGAAATGCGAAACCTCCATGACATTCAAGCCGAATCAAATGCAGGCGGCGGGCAAAATGCTAACCCAAGTGCCAGAGGAACCATGGGCAACAGTATGCGCGGATTTCGTTGGACCACTACCGCGATCGAAGCACGGCAATTCAATGTTACTGGTGCTCATAGACAGGTTCTCTAAATGGACGGAACAAGTGCCGCTACGCAGTGCGACAGCCGAATCTGAGAACATGCTGGCCGTCAACTATAGCATATCGGAATCCACTGGATACACCCCATCGTTTCTTACCCAAGGCAGTAAGCCACGACTACCGAGCGCCCTTTACGACAGAGAAACCTTAGGCACCGGACGAGCCACGGAAACCCCGGATGAAAACGCGCAGAAACTAAAAGAGATCTTCGAGATCGTAAGAAGGCCTCCCAGGAACAGGCTAGGTATTACAACCTAAGGAGGAGGCAATGGACGCCGGCGGTGGGCGACGTAGTCTGGGCCAAGGAACACCACCTATCAAAAGCTGCAGAAGGGTTTGTCGCAAAATTGGCACCTAGGTATGACGGGCCCTACCAGGTCGTAGATTTCGTCTCACCGGTGATCTGCAAAATACGGAACGTAAACACACAGAAGGATCGGACCATACATGTAAGCGAGCTCAAACAGCAACAAACACAAGACACAAGCGATCAACAGCATCAGGCAGACGCAACCGAGAAACAACAACATTGAGGACTCAAAGGATACGAGGAAACGCCATGGAACATCCGAGGAAACTCCAGGGAACAGCCGAGGACACGCCAGGGAACCGCCGAGAAAACTCCAGGAAACAGCCGAGGACTCCAGGATATTGCCGAGGAAACTCCATGGAACAGCCGAGGAAACTCCAGAGAACAGCCGAGGAAACTCCAGGAAACAGCCGAGGAAACTCCAGGGAACCGCCGAGGAAACTCCAGGGATACGCCGAGGCAACGCCAAGGATACCAGAATACAGAAAGACACACAGTACAGGCAGAGGGACAACACCAAAGGGGAAAAAAATATGCGCGGAAGACCTACTCTTCTTATCCCGAAGAAAGGGGGGAGACGGTACAGCTTTGGGGCTATACCGTAGCCAGCTGAACACTCCGAACAGAAAACAAGCACAACCAAATCACCGGAAAACCCTGAAATGCAAACAAAAGTGAGTGCCGGTCCAGTTAAATTGGAAACTCACCACGGTTAAACAAACCCTTCTGCTGACAGAGCGCGACAACCTACGGCGCAGCCGCAGCCGAACCTGTTAAGGGCATTTACCTAAAAACCCAAGGGCAAAGAAGGGCATAGTTGCAGCATCTGAAAAGGTAGGGATGAATAAGGAAAGAAAACACAAAAACAAATCCAGTGAAATCGGCACTTGCAGAAAAATTGTGCAAATTCACCATGAACTAGGGACGGGGGCGCCTCGACAAGGCGGTCGATTGGCACCGGACGATAGTGCGATCGATGAGCTAAATGGAAATATCACGGTGAATATCGCTGCGATCAGGTGGCAACACTACACCTGCAATATCGATAGCGGATGATAACGATAGATTATGAATATCGGTTCCGAGCGGAAACAGATCAGAGATCGTCGCGGGAAATTCAAACTACGGGCCCGCTGGCATATCGATATCCGATGGTTATCGATGCCCAGTGGGACCAGATGGAGGATCGGCGCGGGAGTTTCAAAATTGCTGCAGAGATGCCGATTTGCGCCGTAGAAACTCTCGGAGTTGAAAGCGTCGAGAAAGCGTCGAGGGAGCAACGATGGAGCAACGAGGGAGCGCCGGTAAAATGCAGTAAAATGGAATTCCTTTTGTTAATGCTGTTTTTTAAATTAGTCAAATACATAAATGATATGTCCTTTATTATTAGCTTTAATACATATTTAATTGGTTCGCATTATGCACGAGCTTAAGAGTACAGAAAAAGTAGAGATGGGATATCAATAATGTAGTGAACATTCACCACGACACGTCACGATTAATCCACAGGGTGATCTTGTCGGAATGAAAAGGGCTGCCATTCTTTTCAACATAACATTTCTTCCCCTCTCAGGGTGATGAGGAAAATATTACTCTCGGCTTACGAACTCTGGTGGATCGCCGAAGGATCTGTTGTGGTGGTGGTTTACTTCCTCATCCTTCCCGTAGGTGGTAGAGGCGGGACTCGAAATATTTACTTCTTCTTGGTGTTCCTGAATGTCCCCCTCCAGTGCGCTCCTTATTTGGTCAATATGTCGCTTATAGATTTTGTTGTTGTGGGCGATTTCATAATGGAGGTCACCTGAGTTCTTGACAATTTTTCCTGGCACCCACTTATCCATTCGCGGAGTGTAGGTCGCAAAGTAGACTCTCTGACCTGGAACAAATTGGATGTTACTTTGAACTGGGGTCCGTCAAGGCGAATTAGATCCAGGCGCGTGCGTAGTTGTCTGCCCATAAATAGTTTCGCTGGTGACTCGCCTGTTGTGGAGTGTTGAGCGTTGTTGTACTGACGGAGGAATTCGTTGAGATCTGCCTGTAAGGAACTAGAAGAAGTACCCATTGCTTTAAGGGCACCTTTGACGGTTTGTACATTGCGCTCAGCTTGTCCGTTCGTTGCGGGGTGATATGGGGCTGTGTACTTATGGTATTTTACTCCGATTTTGGTCAAAAAATCGTTGAACTCCTCGGATTTAAAATTGGTTCCGTTATCGGAAACAATCATCTGGGGTACTCCAAACTTCGCAAAAAGGTTATCCAGTAAAGCGCTGGTAGCTGACGCTGTGATTGATTTTGTAACTGCCACGTCTAGCCATTTGGAGAAAGCATCCGTGATTATCAGTAACATCTTGCCCTGAAATGGTCCAGCATAGTCGATATGCACGCGTTCCCAGGGTGCTTTCGGATATTCCCAGTGATGCTGAGAATATTTCGGCGGAAAATTAGCATTTTTTGCGCAATCCTCACATAATTTGGCTATGTTTTCAATGTCCTTATCAATCCCTGGCCAATATGTAAACGAACGAGCAATGCTCTTCATTTTGACGATACCCAAGTGAGCACCATGAAGTTCTTCTAGTACCAACTTCCTCAGTTTGGTCGGGATTACCACTCTGTGCTCGTAAATTAGGCAGCCAGATGAGACTTGGTAGTGATGTTCTGGAGCTTTATATCCTGCTCGCTTGAGGCATTGGCCCCCTTCAATCGCTTGTATTATTTTTCCCAACTGGTCATCTTTCCTTGTCTCCAGTGCTATTCGAGTAGATGTTAATGGTAGCTGTCTAATTTGGCGAATTACAAAGTTGTCAAATGCATCGGATTCTTCGTCGCAGTTCTGTTTTTCCATGATAGGCAAACGGGATAAGTAGTCGGCATTGCAATTTTCCTTGGATCTTTTTGCTATCACCTCAAAGTCAAAGTTAGACAAAAAGTCGGCGTAGTTTGCCATACGCGAGATGCATAACGTTGGTAACGATTTCACTGGGTGAAGTATCTGGGAAAGCGGCTTATTGTCTGTTATAAGGGTCCAATGCCTTGCGTACAGATACTTAAAGAATCTGTTCACCGCCCATACGATAGCGAGCGCCTCTTTATCAATCTGGGGATATCGCTGTTCTGTTCCAGTCAGCGTTCGACTTGCATAGGCTATTGGTCTCTCTTTTCCATCCATCAGGCGGTGTGACAAAACAGCACCCAGACCAGTTGGGCTGGCGTCTGTTGCTAGTAGCAGTGGGAGCGAGGGGTCATATGGCATTAATACTTGTGGTGATACTAGCAAGTCCTTAATGCTATTGTACGCCGAATTGTGATTTGCAGTCCAATAAAACTTGCCTTCCTTAAGGAGATTCCTAAGCGGTCTTTCTAAACTGGCCAGGTTTGGAATGAAGTTGGTGTAGTACGCTGCTTTTCCCAGAAATAGTTGTACGTCCTCAATTGATTTCGGCATTGGTGCATAAAGGACGGCTTCAACGTGTTTGTTCGATTTTTGAATACCCTGATCATTGATCTTATGACCTAGAAACTCGATCGATCGGGCGGCGAATACACACTTGTTCTTATTCAGCTTGAACCCCAGGGTCTTCAGTGTACGTAATGTTTTGTCTAAGGTTTTTAGAAGCTCCTCCACATTATTAGCGTAGATCAAGATATCATCGAAAAAATTTAAAATGTTCGGAATGCCGTGAAGCACAGATTCCATTGTGCGCTGCCAAATTGCAGGTATATTTGCAGCGCCATAGACTGCACGTGTTGGGCGAATTAGTCCATGCGTAGGAGTGTTTAATGTCAACACGTGACCAAATTCCTCGTCGATAGGCAAGTGTGAATAGGCATCCGTTACATCTAAGTGAGCGAATACTGTGGCTCCTCTCATTTTGTTAAAGATATCTTCTGCTCTCGGGATGGGATGTTCGTCGATAATCATTTGCGGGTTTACTGTAGGTTTGTAATTGCCTGTAATGCGAATGCCTCCATTCTTCTTTGTTACTACATGTGTAGTTGATGCCCACTCTGAAAATTCGACACGTTTGTAAAATCCTGCCGCAATTTTTGATTCGATCTCCTTGGCGTAAGCATCCTTCAGTGCAAAGGGTACCTCTCTTGGTCGTGCGAATATCGGCTTGGCATCCGCTTTGAGGTGAACTTTTGCAGGTGGTCCCTTAAACATGCCCGCTGTTGCACTGAAAACATCTGTGAATTGTTGAAGTAATTGTTGAAGGCGCAACATCTCAGCTGTCCTCAAGTCTGTCGCTCGTATTTCTATTGCGTTGACCAACGCTCTACTCGCATTTGAGGTTCCCTGAGCGGACGACTGCGGTGTCTGATCGGGCGCAAATAGGCTTGAAAAGTTTATTTCTCGCACGAATTGTGAAATCCATTCTCGTCCACATAATGTGTCAAAGTTTCCCTCCACTACATACAGATTTAGTTTCTGGGTGGTGTTCTTATATTTCACTCTGACCACTGCACGACCTATACAGTTGACGATGTGACCTGTGTAGCTCGCAAATCTTCGGTTCGTATTTGTTAGGGGTGTTGTAGGTAAATTCTTCCGAAATTCGACATGATTTATGATGCTACATGGAGCCCCTGTATCTAGTTCCATTACTATTTCCTTCCCATTGATCTGCATTTGAATCATTTTCTTACTGTGTTTCCCTGACGTGCTCAGTTTATTACATTGGCGCAATACTTGCACCTGCTCATTTTCCTCTGCTTCGGAGTCAGTGATTTGGTTTGTAGTAGATTTGCACATCTTTCTTATGTGTCCCAGTTTGCCACATGAAAAACATTTCTCATTTTTGAATTTGCAATTCTTTCGAAGATGTTGGCCCCCACAGCCGTAGCAAGAATTCATCTGCGTGTATCCCGATGTATTTCCTTGTTTCTTTCTTACTGGTGAATACCCCAATTTGTACGTAGGTTCTGGCTTGATTGTTGTCTCGTGGAATACCGATTCTGATGCATTTACTATCCCCGTGGATCGATGCGTAAGTTTTCTGGAATAAGCAATTTCGTAAGCATCTGTAAAAGTTCTCGGTTGTTTAGAAATAATCTCGTCACATATACTGCGAGACTCCATTCCAAAGAGCATTTGCTCCGTTAGCATTCTATCTAGAAAAGATCCGAAATCACAATATGTTGCTGCTTGTCGCAGACGCAGCGCATATGTCGCAATTGATTCTCCTGCTTCCTGACGAATCTGCCTGAATTTAAAGCTCTCAGCGAACGTGTTTCGCTTTCCATCGAAGTGGTTAATTAGCACCTCTTTAATTTCGGTAAACTGAAGATCTTCCGGATTTAGTGGACTTATTAAAATTCGCAACGCGGAATTAAGCTCTGGACCCATATGGACTCGGATGTAGTTTTCATATTCAGCAATTGGGATTTTGCTCAGCTGTAATGCCCATTCGAATCGTGTGAAGTATTCGCGTACCGATGCGTCCTCGCCCGCCTTGTAGTTTTCCATTGAAAACGGCGGCGTCATTGAAGAGCTGCTTGCCTGGCCAGCATTTTTGGCTGCTTGGGTTATTGCAGCACTTATGGAAGCAATTAGGCTGTTTAGATCCAGGTTTCCGTCTGCCATGTTGACTCACTTCTGACACCAAATGATATGTCCTTTATTATTAGCTTTAATACATATTTAATTGGTTCGCATTATGCACGAGCTTAAGAGTACAGAAAAAGTAGAGATGGGATATCAATAAGGTAGTGAACATTCACCACGACACGTCACGATTAATCCACAGGGTGATCTTGTCGGAATGAAAAGGGCTGCCATTCTTTTCAACATAACAATAAAGCAAAACATTGCTTCGCATAAATATTGATTTCCCTTATAAGAGTTGTCTACTGTGGATACCCTCTAAAAACCCCCCGTTAACTTATTCGCCAAGAGTATTTGGTTTTTGTTTACCTTTTTGTTACCTATAAAAAATATTTTTAGTTTTTTTTTTAGATTTACACGCTAATCAATTTGGAATTTAATTAAATGCTCAACCCAGTATGAAATTCTATATTTCAACAATATTTTTTGTGTAAAGTACTAATGTTATGAAGAAAACAAGAGAGAACGCTATAGTCGGGTGCCCCGACTATCAGATACCCGTTACTCAGCTAAAGGGAGTGCGAAGGAGATGGAGATAAAAACTTTGATCCGCAGTAACTTTTTAACGAATGGTCCGATTTAAAAAATTCCTTCTACATTTCGATAGGTATTGATAAACACCATAAAACTGCATTTTTACTTTTCCGAAATATTGAAATTTTTAAAATCGTATATAAGCGATTGTGGGCATTAGAGGGAGCGTGGCACCCTTTTGAAACAAACTTGCGCTGCGTAGGAACTCCTAGAATCTGCATGCAAAATGTCAATCTTCTAGCTTTTATAGTTTCCGAGATCTCAGCGTTCATACGGACGGACAGACAGACGGACAGACGGACATGGCTATATCGACTCGGCTAGTGACCCTGATCAAGAATATATATACTTTATAGGGTCGGAAATACTTCCTTCTAGCTGTTACATACTTTTACACGAATACAATATACCCTTTTACTCTACGACTAACGGGTATAATTAATGTATGGATTTCTTTGTTTCTGTTTTGTGCAGCTGATAACTTACGCAAGCAATAAGACTTTTAGGATTCATTTTTGCAAGTTTTTTAATATTTCTTAAGTAGTTTGCATAGGACAATATACTGTTGTTTTTATAGAAAATAAATGAAAAAAGTTATGATAAAATCTTTTCTCGGCTTATAGGCTAAAAAGAGGAATTTTTTTAATTTAAAATAAAAACCAAATATAAATTTATGCTAATTTTTCAATTTTAATTTCCGCAGGCGAAGCTGCGGGCTTCCAACCCTGGTAGTTTATTATATAGCTCTGCCAGTAGCCTTCTGATTCTGTCTCTTGAAAGATCCACAAAGATTGTTTACACAAAGGTTTTCAAAAAACGCGCAAATAACAAAGTTCTCACAACCTAATTTCCTAACTCCAAACTCATTTCAAGCGAACGAAGTCGCTCCGGGTATAGCTCGTATAATATATCAAATAAAACATCTCTTAACGAGGTAATAAACTAGTGACGATCGCACCTTCAACATACAAAAGTTTTGATATCAACATTTGTGACGAAAAATTATTACATTCGTCATTACATACACTTTGTAAAATTTTCTGATTCTGCCTGCCCTAGCAAACTATTCCAACCTTTATTTTCTTCACTCTTCACAGGCGTGCCGAATGAGAAAATTTTAGAAAGTGTATTTTATGACGACTGCAATAATTTTTCGTCACAAATGTTGATATCAAAACTTTTGTATGTTGAAGGTGCGATCGTCACTAGTTTTTTACCTCGTTAGGAGGTGTTTTTATTTCAGAAGTTTTTGTTTGTTTGTTGTTGCTTTCATAGGAGCTAATACATTTAAATTTAAATTAGTCAATCATAATTTTAAAACTATTGTATTTAAACCACAGCTTGCAAATAACTGTCAACCGATTTTCCTAAGGCAGTTTAATCTTGACAAAACCGAAAAAAATGTTGCTCACAAACTCTCTCTCTGAGCGGAACCATTTTTTAGTTTTGCTTGTCGGTTTCGGTCCGACCGTTCGGCTCAACCGAACAAAGCAATCGGTCTTTCAATAACCACTCGGTGAGACTCTTTTAAGTTAACAGTCACCTAAAAGGGTTTCTGAAAGACTACTGTTAAATAAAAGTCAAAAAAATGGGTTTTCTCTCGAAAGGAAAAAGTATAGGCCTGCTGTGATATGTGCATAAATTTTACATAAGAAATCAAGATAATTATAAAATTGCATTGTACAATGTACATATAAATGTATATAAAATTGTATTCTGAATTTAGGTTAGCTGCTATTTTTTTGTTTGCTTCAATATATTAATTGACTATATAAGGAACTATCTTTAATAAGAAATGCCATAAAGAAACGAATTACCTTTCAAATGAGCTATACCATAAGAATAAATGAGAACTACCATAAGTCTTAAGATAAAAAATGGCTCAAAGTATACCAACCAAGCCTATTCCTACAAAATGGATCGCGCCTTCCTTCAAATCTTTCGAAATATTTTGAATAAAACCAAATAATGTTGTGAAGATATTCTTAAATAATTAGGAATTGATTTAAAGCTACATAAACAAAATTTGAAACTGCTAAAGGAGGTTTAACCTGTTAAAAAGCTCTAATTTTTCTTGCAGCTTAAAAGATTCGCTTCTTATTACGTGGATTTGGTTATTAATTACTACATAAGATAGATAAGCCAAAAGTGGAGTTTTGGGATCGTAAATTATTTAAAATATGTAGAATATTGGAATTTAATGGTAAATGGGCTAATCTTACAGATTCAGCTTTAGAAAGTACACATTACGTATTTGTCCTTACCCTTTTGAATTTTAATAATCAAAACTGACTGAAGCATTACTGAACAGGTCACACATACACACTCATACATTCACAAAAGACCGTTTTCCTTAACAGACCGAGCAAAGTAGTCAGTAGAAACCGAAACCGAAATAACTCTGAAAAAAAGGGTTTTGCTCTGAGCGTAACATCTAATAAGCTCACTCCCAGTTGGCATAGGGTTTTTTGTGACAGGTTTTTTCCTAACACTTTGAAAAGGTTGACCGAACCTTGCAAGCTCTGATTTAAACGAATTAAGTTAAAAAGGCGTTGAAGTATTTCAAAATACCTTTTTAGCGAGGTATAGCACATGTCTGTAGCTTTAGTAGTGTAGAACTAAGAAACTAACGAAATGTAGCTATTTTTAGTTTTTTTCCCGCTAAAGTAACGTGTTTTTCCAAAAGTCGTAGAACAAAAGATTCCTATATGGAACTGGTAAATGCAAATTAACTGATTCCATGAAATTAAAATGCAGTTTGGACACCCACGCACAAAATTAAATGCTTTGAAAGAGTTAGGGCCGGTTTCTCGAGTTCCTGTCAAAGTACATAATACCTATCTGTCCGAAAAACTTAAAGACCAGATAAACTGTTCGTAAAAGCAAATCCGCTTTCTCGACTGCTTTAATTTATCTGAACGAGAAACAATTACAGAGTGCTGTTAACGCACAGAATTATGGTGTAAAGCGCAAAAAAGGGCGTGATTCGATTATTTCATCAGCTGTTTGGGTATAATTTAAAGGAAAGGTCAGCTGTGATTTCGTTTATTCTTCTTAGTTGGCTTTGGAAAATCAGCTGTCATTCTATCGAGCCGAAAACACTTAACAGGGACTCCGAGTCCCTGTCAAAGTTAGCTCTCACATTGATGCTCGAGAAAGCCAAAATACCTTAGCAGGGACTTTATCTGTTCGAGAAATTTTACATAAGAAATCAAGATAATTATAAAATTGCATTGTACAATGTACATATAAATGTATATAAAATTGTATTCTGAATTTAGGTTAGCTGCTATTTTTTTGTTTGCTTCAATATATTAATTGACTATATAAGGAACTATCTTTAATAAAAAATGCCATAAAGAAACGAATTACCTTTCAAATGAGCTATACCATAAGAATAAATGAGAACTACCATAAGTCTTAAGATAAAAAATGGCTCAAAGTATACCAACCAAGCCTATTCCTACAAAATGGATCGCGCCTTCCTTCAAATCTTTCGAAATATTTTGAATAAAACCAAATAATGTTGTGAAGATATTCTTAAATAATTAGGAATTGATTTAAAGCTACATAAACAAAATTTGAAACTGCTAAAGGAGGTTTAACCTGTTAAAAAGCTCTAATTTTTCTTGCAGCTTAAAAGATTCGCTTCTTATTACGTGGATTTGGTTATTAATTACTACATAAGATAGATAAGCCAAAAGTGGAGTTTTGGGATCGTAAATTATTTAAAATATGTAGAATATTGGAATTTAATGGTAAATGGGCTAATCTTACAGATTCAGCTTTAGAAAGTACACATTACGTATTTGTCCTTACCCTTTTGAATTTTAATAATCAAAACTGACTGAAGCATTACTGAACAGGTCACACATACACACTCATACATTCACAAAAGACCGTTTTCCTTAACAGACCGAGCAAAGTAGTCAGTAGAAACCGAAACCGAAATAACTCTGAAAAAAAGGGTTTTGCTCTGAGCGTAACATCTAATAAGCTCACTCCCAGTTGGCATAGGGTTTTTTGTGACAGGTTTTTTCCTAACACTTTGAAAAGGTTGACCGAACCTTGCAAGCTCTGATTTAAACGAATTAAGTTAAAAAGGCGTTGAAGTATTTCAAAATACCTTTTTAGCGAGGTATAGCACATGTCTGTAGCTTTAGTAGTGTAGAACTAAGAAACTAACGAAATGTAGCTATTTTTAGTTTTTTTTCCCGCTAAAGTAACGTGTTTTTCCAAAAGTCGTAGAACAAAAGATTCCTATATGGAACTGGTAAATGCAAATTAACTGATTCCATGAAATTAAAATGCAGTTTGGACACCCACGCACAAAATTAAATGCTTTGAAAGAGTTAGGGCCGGTTTCTCGAGTTCCTGTCAAAGTACATAATACCTATCTGTCCGAAAAACTTAAAGACCAGATAAACTGTTCGTAAAAGCAAATC